TCCTTAGGCGGCCCAGATGGCCTAATGAGGGTCCTGAGAGCATACTTGGGTCCCCAGATGATTGAGCCTCTCCACCCAGGGTGAGCTTCCCTTGCACCCCAGTGTGCTGGGGAAGGTGGCTGCAGCTAGAGCTCTGGCAGAGAGAGTTTACAGGATTCTTCTCCCAGCCTCGCCCATAACATGTGGTTCTTTTTGTAGCAAGCACACAAGGGTCCTTTGTGACTCCTCCCCAAAGCAGGGCTGAGCGTTGCACGGGCAGCAGATGTTACTAGGCCCGCTGGCCAGTCCTCATTCCGCAGCAGCCAAGAGCCCCTACAGCCCGGGAATTGTGGGCTAATGCTTGGCCCTGGCTAGGTCCCCTCTCTCTCTCTGACCCCTCCAGCCCAGGTCACCATGACAGATGCTGGGAACATATGCCATGAATTAATTCGCTCCAGCAGAGCCACAGAGGAGCAGCCTCTTCCTCTGTCTGCTCTACCAGTCTTGCTTGCTGACTTCTGCCTTGCCAAAAGGAGTATCTTTTGGATTGTTGCCCTTCCCTTGCTCCTAGTGGCCCCCTCCCTTGGGCTTTTTCTTCTTTCTCCTAATCCCACTGCCACAGGCAATTGCCTCTTAGTAACTCCTGCTCTTACCTCTACCTCCCAGAATGCATCAAAGGGCTGAGGAGCCCAGAAATCCCTCCCTCTTCTGCCTCCAGATAGATGATGTCCCAATTTTCCTAGGAAAGGAAAGTCCGTAAGAGAAGTTTGTCTTTCTGAGGGTTAAGAATCTTCCCACCATTCCAGTCTTTCCTTACATCTAATTCAAATCACTCCTGCTGCAATAAATTTTCTGGATAAAAATAAGTTGAACTTTGGGAACACGATTATAGTTATTTCTCATCTTCATCCTTTCCTCTAAGTGGGGAGGTTTGGTGAACTTTTTTTCTGGAAAGGGCTAGACAGTATGTTTCAGGCTTTGTAGGCCAAATGGTCTATGTGCAACTAAGTTCCTTTGGGTTTTTTTCCTTCCTTCCTTCCCTCCCTCCCTCTGTCCCTTCCTTCCTTTCTTCCTGTTTTTTCTTTCTCTTTCTTTTTTTGTATGTGGTTCCTGGGGCTTGAACTCAGGGACTGGGAGCTGTCTCTAGCTTTTATGCTCAAGGTTGGTGCTCTACTACTTTAGCCACAGCTCCACTTCTAGCTTTTTGGCAGTGAATTGGAGATAAGACTCTTAACAGACTTTCTTGCCCAGGCTGGCTTCAAGCTGTGATCCTCAGATCTCAGCCTCCTGAAAAGGTAGGATTACAGATGTGAGCTACTAGAGCCTGGATGCAACAAAGTTTTACAACAAAAGCAGTAACAGACTAGACTACAAGTAAAGACACAGCATGGCTGTGCACAGCTGTACTCCAGGCAAGTGTCACAGACTAGGGTGGGCTGGATTTGGCCTGTGGGCTGGAAGTTAGTGGCCCTAACTCTCAGCAAGCCAACACTGCCTCTGTTCTCAGTGCACACAGCAGCTCCCCTTGCTCCCCTCCCACCTGCACTTGGCAGCAGCTCCTGTGGGTTATGGTATGCACATTCATGTAAGTACCATACTTTGGTCAGGCAACACTGAATGAACAGGTTAGAGGTATTTGTTTGCTTCTGGAGCACATAGTTGTAAAAACTCATCTTCAGGGTCCCAAGTCTCAGTAAAGTCCAAGCCAAGAGCCAGGACTAGCTAGCGATGCCCTCAAGTTCAACTGACTGCCTGGCCTGATGAATTTCCAGGCCCTAGGTCTGGAGCTTAAAGTTTCCATGGAACAATCCGGGTGGGGATCTCTTAATGCCACCTGACCTTCTGGCAGCCAGTAGCCACCTCCTGACCTCTACTGCTCATTGTCCCTGCCCTCTCAGGGCAGCATTAGCAGGTTTGCTTCTCCGGGCTAAGGAAGGAAGAAGCACACAACAGACCGAGGGAAGAACAGACCGAGGGAAGTTTCACTAAAGCTTCCTTGCAGGAGCAGACCCCACTCCCACAGGCCTCTCCAGTGATAGGCCGGCCTTGAACACAGGGAAGGCTGGGTTTCTCCTCTGTCCTGTTGCTTTACCCCAGAGGCAGCTTGACCTTCTCCTACCCCTTAAACAGGCTGAGACCATGGCAGCCTTTTGGCTCTTGAAAACCCTGAGCTTTTGGAGCATTTGCCTGGAGATCAGCTTCATTTTCTGTTTCTTCAGGTCTTTCTGCAAGGCCTCTTCTGAACACCCATTTTCAATTGTCTTTCCTACTCCTGCTATCCATACCTCCATGTTATCTGATACCCAGCACCCGCTCTAGGCATGGAGTTCGGTCTGCTTCTCTATCTGTAGAGCTAACAACAGAGCCTGGCAGGTGGCAATAATCTTTCACAAACGAATGAATGAACTACAAACAGCATCTCTGCAGTAACTACCCAATGTCAAAGAGAAGGGGTGGGTTGTAAGAGCTCAGCAGGGACTATATGAGCCTGCTTCCATGTGACAGGAGCCAGTGGAGTAGAAACAGATGGGAAATAGCCAGACAGGGGCCACATGGAGGAAGCAGCACCATTTTGTGCTTGGTTATAGTCTTACCCTTTTGGTCATCTTCAGGCGAGGTTCCTAGAATCTGGGCTGTGTTGTCACATAAGGAAGGCTTCTTGGAAGGAACTGGGCAGATGTTGATTCTGGAACATCTCTGAAGATGATGCTCAAGGGCTGGGTGAAGACCACAAGGGACAAGGCCAGGGAAAGGACATATCACAGGAGATGTGGTGGCACATGGCTTTCACCTGTGTCTGGGCTTAAATCTCTCAGTTTAGAGCTGTCGTTTGGCAGGGTCTGCTGGTTTCAAGCTCGGGGCCTGGCCTCTTGAGTATAGCCATATTGTAGGCCTGTGGGTACCTTAGAGATGAGAACAGATACCTGCTTTGGGGATGGGGAGAAAGGCAATTTCTCCTACAGAACTTCTCTTTTTTTTTTTTTTCTGTGCTAGTCCTGGGCTGGAACCCAAGGCCTGAGCATTGTCCCTGAGCTTCTTTTGCTCAAGGTTAGTGTTCTACTACTTGAGCCACAGCACTACTTCCAGCTTTTTCTGAGTTGTTTATTGGAGATTAAGAGTCTCATGGCTTTTCCTTTTTTGGTCTGGTCGTGGGGCCTGAACTCTGGGCCTGGGCGCTGTCCCTCAGCTCTTCAGCTCAAGGCTAGCGCTCTACCACTTGAGCCACAGTGCCACTTCCGGCTTTTTTCTTTTTTTGCTTATATGGTGCTGAGGAATTGAACCCAGGGCCTCAGGCATGCAAGGCAAGCACTCTACCACTGAGCCATCTTCCCAGCCCCTCTCATGGCTTTTTCTGCCTGGGCTGGCAGCAAAACCAGAACCGGTAATCCTTAGATTTCAGCTTCCTGAGTAGCTAGGATGACAGGTGTGAGCCGCCAGCTCCCCACCTAATTATGTCCATTCTAAGCAAGATCACTTGGCACATGAAGGTGCCAATGTGGCACATGAAGACAGGCATCAAAGCACAGTGGAGTCTGGCAACTTAGTTTTGAATTCCAGCCCTGGTGCTCAATCTTGACTAATTTCATCTCCCCGAGCCTCACTTACCTCATCTATCAAATGGGATAATCACAGGATGTGTGCTCACAGGGTTGTGAGGACTGAGCACAGAGAAAGCTCAATGCAAGTTAGATCCTGTTTCTGCCGTTAGAAAAGTGGGGGAAGGAGAGAACCTCCAGTCACTGGCTCTGCTGACTGAAGACCTCCAAGGCTGTCGGAGCCCTCAGGCAGTGGAGTTTGCTGGTAATTAAGGGACTAGAAATAAGGCTTTTCTCCTTTGGGTTTCAGAATGATAGAGACTCAAGCAAAACCAGCCTGGATAGAAACTTCTCAGTGGTCACAGGAATTATTCCAAAGAACATGTGTGTGGACTGAAAATGTGACTCTGGAAAAAGAAAATGGGACCCCAAAGCCACTAAGTCCCTGAGTTTATAATTAACCAACTAGCATAGGTTCTTTCGGGTTCTGGAGCCCTGGGCTCACCAGGAAGGGCACTGTAGTCACACAAAAATAACCCCCCAGTGGGTTTTTGATGTGTTGAGCCTCTTTGTTTTTCTGAATTTTAATGAAGCGCTCTCCAGGCAGGATAAGAGAAGCATTCAGTGCTCCCTGTGGCCCACGAGTGGACTTTTAGCTCTGGCAGCCTGCATGGGCTGAGTCAAAGCAGTGGCAAGAAGAGGCCTGCAGGAGAGGTCCCTGTCTTTAGAGAAGTCTTGGAGAAAGCAAGAACAACAACAAGAGGCATCTTGTTTGGGTTAGTGGGGCTGCAGGGACATCAGTCATGTTGGAAGAGGTGGTGGTAAAGGCAGGGAGCAGTACAGACCAGCCATTGCTTAAGGAAGGGTCAGGAGTCACTGAAAGCAGGGTGAGGAGGAACCGTGAACCCTTATGTGGGGTCAGGTAGACTAGGCCCTCCCAGTGAGAACTGGCATGGGCGGGGACAAAGAGGGGGGCAAGTAGAGGCAACAAGGAGACTGCTGTCCCAACAGCTGCCAGCCCTGCTGAGAACACCCACAGCTGGCTACCCAGCACATGAGGAAGGTGACAGGGCAGTTCCACTGACACACCTGCTGGCACGGAGGGTCACAGGCAGAAAAGCATCCTGCTAGCCTTCCCAGGACACCAGCAGGCAACTATCAACAACCTCTTGCCACTCCGCCTCCAGGTCTCCTCCTCTAGGGAGCTACTGAGGCGTCCTGAGAAGTGACAACTACCAATTGGAGCACCCATCCTCATGCTCTTCAACGATGTGAGAGTTCAGAGCTCCCATCAGATTATTTAAATGTTACCTTCTTGCCAAGCATGGTAATGCATGCTTGTCATCTCAGTACTCAGAAGAGTTCAAAGCCAGCCTGGGCTACACACCAAAACCCTGTTTCAATCTCCCACTACAAAAAAATAAAAATAAAAAAATGCTGTCCTCCTTCACTCATAAAGAGAGTGCTGGAAACAAATGAAGGAAGTGACCACAGAATAAAGCCATTTATTGCATTTGTATGATCCAATGTGGTCTACTGAAAATACTTTTATTACAAAATATTTCATATAAAAATTCGATGCTGCTGCGAGCTCCTTTGGTTTTAGGCTCTTTGCATTTGCTCAAGTCCAGTCAGAGGTTCCGAGCTCAGGTGTTCTGAGGGGTTACCTCGGGGTCGTCTTCCGTCTCAGGTAGCAGCTCCCACTCACTGAGAAGCTCAGAGGACACCTCCGTGTACAGATGGTCCCAGTCCCAGCCAACGTCATCCTGCCAAGAGCGACAGCTCTAAATAAGACAAAGGAAGTTCTTCTCCCTCAGTTGTAGCCAACTTCCCATCTCACCTAGGCCTCACGGAGGTGCAGGCCAGCTTGGGAGCCTGCTGACTCTAGGAGCAACAAGGTTGGGAGTGGGGAGCTGTTACCGTACCTCTCGCAATTCTTGCTCTGGTGCAAGTACTTTGGTGAGGAGCTTCAGATCGATCTCACCATCCTGTAAATGTACAAATGTCAGGCAGAGGGGCCTTGAGGGTGTCACAAGTATCTTTCACAAAGGAGAGACATTTGTGTGCATTAGAAATCCCCAAACTGAGACCCACAGAGGTGTGTTAATTGAAGAATACAACCATGAGGGGAACCACACAGCCACTGAGGAAGAAGGGAAGGCTACATAGTTCTCCAGGCTGGGCATGCACCAGAGGAAATGGTGACACCATATCCACAGAGGCAGAGGACAACAGGGTGGCCACCAGGCACCATCAGATGCCCAGTGTTCATCCAGGGAGCAGGTTCCCAGCACTTGGAATGCCTGGGAATATTGTAGGTCATGTCACCCAGCATGATGCCCAAGGATGCTGCCAACAGAGGTGAGGTTGCCGGTCAGCTGTGGGAACGTAGAGGTGTGTACAGCTGTTGAGGAACTGAAGCTCTCCACAGAGGGGACCTAGAGCCACTCCTCCATGTGCTATTCCACTCACCAACGTCTGAAAGGCTGAGTACTTCATGAGATCATTGTCCAGGTCACGGTAGGTCATCACCCGGTTCACTTGGATGCTGAAGGTAAGAGAGAGTTTGAGAAACAATCACAAGAGCTTCCAGGAAGCACCATCCCCAGACACTGAATGCAAACAAAATGTCCTAACAAAGTGAGAAAGGTGGATGGAGCCATCACCACAAAGCCTGGGATCCACACCTGGTTCTGCAAGGTCCACAATAGATGGTACGTGGATATATCCATTCATTTGTTCTCTGCTGCCTTGCCAACTTCACACCTAACTTAACGTACCTTGGAGGGGATGCCACCTGCAAAACAAAGTCTTCCTCTTGCACTTCTTCCAGATCTGGGATGATGGGAATATCTGCAACGAGAGGCAGAAACACAGCTATGCAGAGCATGGATGGGGATCTTGCCTGCTTCTCCACTTCCAGTGTGCCTTCAGTCTATACCAGCGGTGTAGCTGGGCAGGACCCAAGGGACACTTAGACGCAGTATCCTGCCTTCAGGTACCAAATGATGGGTATACTTTAGGGTTAAAGGTGGAGCTTCAAAATAATGGCATTTGCAAGGAAATGGATGGAGCTAGAAGAAATCATGTTAAGCGAGGTAAGCCAAGAGCAAAGAGACAAACAGTACATGCTCTCCCTGATAAGTGGATGTTAAATAAATGTTAGGTGATACGACAAAATTAACAGAACTTAAGAAACAAAGAACTTCCACTCATCTGCTCAAACCACTACTAAATAACCCTATGCTGCTGATCGCATGTATGGTGTATGTGTGTACGCCGTTTTATGTTATAGACCATGATAGACAATTTGCTCCAGGAAAGTTAGAATGTATTTGTGACTTTAAATGAGCATCACTATCCCACAATACTGTGAAATTTGGGAAATTATGTAATCACTTAATCTCACACACACACACACACACACACACACACACACACAAAACCCACCAGAAAACTAGAAGTGGCTCAAGTGGTAGAGCATGAGCCTTGAGCTGAATTGCTCAGGGACAGCTCCCAGGCCTAGAGCTCAAGCCCCATGACTGACCAAAAAAAAAAAAAAAATAGGGTGATCTTTCATGTGATTGTTTCTAACATATTTATAAGATTATGTCTTTGTTGCTTTGTATGTCCCTCCCCCATAGTAGAACCCCTGCTTTCACTGTATTTGATGTTGGTATATGTGGAGGGGAAGGGAAAAAACAAATCGTTAAAACAGGGATACAGGAGGACCTATTGTAACAATGAGATGGACAAGTCGTTATGTCGAAAAACTAACTTTACAACTTTGGCTGGGGGGGGGGGGAGTACGGGGGCAGGGAGGATGCAAAGGGATGGGAAGGGGAAACAAAGGAGGAGGCTACAATGCTTGATAAGAAATGTATACTCATGGGGCTGGGAAGGTGGCTCAGTGGTAGAGTACTTGCCTTGCATGCATGAGGCCCTGGGTTCGATTCCTCAGCACCACATAAGCAAAAAGAAAAAAACGCTGGAAGTGGCACTATGGCTCAAGTGGTAGAGAGCTAGCCTTGAGCTGAAGAGCTGAGGGACAGCACCCAGGCTCAGAGTTCAGGCCCCACGACCGGACCGCCCCCCCCAAAAAAAGAAATGTACTCATTACCTTGCCCATGTAATTGTAACCCCTCTGTACAGTATTTCCACAATAAAAAAATACTTATTTAAAAAAAAACTTAAAATTCAAAAAAAAAAAAAAAGGTGGAGCTTCAGCAATTTCTTTGCTTCAGGCCTTATCCCAGAACCAGCTGCGAGAGAACCTCCTAGCAGGGTTCAGACATCCTTCCTGTGATTTCTCCAGTGATTCTGAGGCTTATGCCAGGTTAGGGGCCCTGAAGTGGACCTCCCTAGAGACATGTAGAGAAGGTAAAGAGAGTCCCAGCATTCACAGACAGTTACAGGACAGAGGAAAATCTGGGAGGAACTAATGAATGTGCCTGGCATGGTTAGACACACAACTGATGATGTAAAATCATTGTGAGCAACTACCTACTCACGACCAAGATCTACCCATGCATCAGCTCTAGAAAGCAATAGTCCCAGTCCTGGCCACCACATTTCACCTGCAGCTGAAGGGCATTTAATTTATTTAAATTTGATTGTACATTTGATTGTAAAGAGGGATTACAATTACAAGAGGAAGATAATGAGTACATTTCTTTTTGAACCATGTTACCCGCTTCCTCATTTTCTCCTGTTTGCCCCCTCCACTCCCCTTTCCCCCACAGTGTCTAGTGAATACCAGATGATATACCAGTGATACACCAGCTGGCTCCCCATTGCTGTTTCAGAGGGCAGAGTTTCCATCTGCCAGGCTTACTAGAACACAGTACTGATTCTAACCATCATATTTTTCTTGCTGTCTCATGGAGGTTTTCCTTTTCTGAACTGTCCAGACACAATTATAGATGCATGCAGAACATGAGGCGAGTTCTTCTATCAGTCTAACTACATTAGGAAATGGGACAGCATAGCACTTCATTATGGTAACTTCCTCAAGTTGCCAAAAATTGGCCATCTTCTCATTGGGACAAACCAAGTTCCTGAAATGTTTCCTCTTCTAAGTCAGTATCACTGAGGGGTTGAGCAGTTTTGTTTTAATCAATTAAGAGCAGGAAAAAAAATCAATCAGGGGCAAGAAAAAAAATCCAAGTGGGACCAGACAGTTCTAGGATTTCCAAACTAACTGCAAAAACCAAAAGAAGGAAAAGGCCCAGAGAGGAGAGAGTGAAGAAAGCTTCATTTCTAAAAGAGACCTGGAATCACTCCAAGAACAGCTGGGGAGGCTCCTGCCACTTTCAGCCGATTCATTATTTAGACTCTGCCATTGCTAAGCCAGAGTACATAAACGTCAGTTCTAAGCCTGCTGTCTTTATTATTACTCACAAATGATGTACCTGGAAAGAGACAGAGCAGGCAACGGAGAGGCAGAGACACAAGAAATGAAACAGAAAGAGACAGGCAGAGAAAGACAGCGACAAGGGATGAAAATAAAGTGTTAACAGGAAATAAAGACACACACAACACCCCCAAAATAATGAGCACCATTCAGCAAGTCCTGTATCTAGAAAGAAGCTGTTCAAAGAGTAGCTTCCACTCCCTGACTCCTAAAAACTAGATGTGGAACCCACTAAGATCCCACTTCTTATGCTAACACCACTGGCTCAGTGATTAGCACTGTGCAAGCTGACAGTGCTGCTTGCTCCTGAGCCCTGGCCAAGTGGGGCTCCAGGCTGGGAGTCAGTACAGCCCCTGCACAGGGACCTGACTGTGCCATGTGCCATCAGCAGTGTGACAGTTTTGGAGTGAGCCAGTTAGCTGCTCACTGTTGGCATTCCTCAGCTATGGAGTCCAGCCTGAGATGAATATTCAGAAGTTGATAAGAAAATGCCCCACGCTGAGTTTGGGGCTCAGGACGGGGTCTTCCCAAACTCCCCATTCCCTCTACAACTTTAGCATTTGGGTCCTGTCAACTCTGCCCAGCGTCTCCAAGCTCAGAGGAATTGCACTTCTGCCCAATGTCCACTCGTGCTTCCCATGGGCTTCCCTCTTGGTCCCTACCTCCTCCTCCAAATGTGCACAAAGAGTGTGGGGCCGGCCCATCTGTGATGGATCAGAGGTCGGCGCAGGCCTTAGCAAGGGGGCCACTCAGAGTGGCACTGGTGGGGCTGGCCACACAGTGGGATTTCTCTCTAATTGGAAGCCTGGTGCCCAGTAGAACTCAGTGAAATGCCTGCATGGGACAAAGCCAGCAATGACAGCCAGGCCAAGGCAAGCTGGAACATTCCGGTGCAGTGACAGCTTGTGCCGTCGCAGCAGAGGCAGGCCATCCAATTCCCGGCCCCCAGCAGAACAGGTGGCCACAAAGCAGGTTTTGGGCAAACTTCAAAGAACTTCACCATTTTCTAGTTTCTGATTTATAATCACAGACAAGTGCTTGCTTATGTGGACATAATATGTTGTGGGGAGCTGTTTTTCTTTTTCTCTCCATCTCTTTTCCCAACCACACCTCTGTCACAGAAACCATGAACAAACTAAGAAATAAAGCAGACTTCAGAAATCTGCTTCTTCACTAAATTACTTAAAAGGAATGGTCCAGCTCTACTTTGCTTGAGTCAGAGACAGACTTGAGTATGTGGGCTGGTGGCCTAGTCTCATTCAGGTTTTAAAGTTTAACATGCAAAGCTTAAGAGTGCTAACACACACAGTCTTCTTTTGGTACTAGTGAGCAACTAAAACTATCTATCTATCTACCTATCTATCTATCTATCTATCTATCTATCTATCTATCTATCTATCATCATCATCAGAAGAAGAAGAAGAAGAAGAAGAAGAAGAACCAAGAATCTTGAGCCTGCCCAGTGATGACTGTTTTTCAGAAGAGAATGTGTGAAAGTAGCATAGTTAATAAAGTCAAAGGCTGGGTAAAGTTTAACATAAAATTTCACCTCCTGCCATGAGACCCAGTCATCTCCCTAGAAGCAATCAGTTAATTTCTTGTGTAGAATTTACTGAAGAGAGTTTACAAATATCATAGCACATCAGTCCTTTTAGAATGCCTGCAAATCACATTACATACGCACTGTTCTGGCACTCCTATCCTTGCACCCTCTACAGATGTAGGTATTTCTTATTTTTTAACATAATTGTCTAAATAGTATTCTATTGAATAAATGCTCCACAATGCATTTAATGAAGTCTGGAGACAATCTAATTTAGAATTTGGGACATGGGTGAGGGGTTAGGGAAGGTCTTCCTGAACGAAGGACAGAACAGCTGCGAGTTGAAGCAAAGGGTAGCATGGGCAAAAGTGCAAAAGTAACTTGCAATCCTGGAGATACTCAAAGATCAAAACTAGCTCAATCAGAAAAGTTTTCAAGACAACAAAATGCCAGACTGAAGGTGTGGTTCACGTGGTAGCATGAGTAGGAAATCTGGGTGAAAGGGAGAAGCCCTGAATTCAAGCCCTAGTACTAGTAAGAGAAGGGGGTGTGGGGAAGAGAGGGTGCCGGAAGGGAGAGGAAGAGGGGGAGGGCAAGGGGAAGGGGGAGGGAGAGGGGAGGAAAACTCATCTTGATATTAGAACACTAGTGTCTGCACCTAAAAGACTCATCAGACAAAGCAAATACCAGATAAAAACCACAGAAATAAATAAGCATGGGGCTGGATGTAGTTTTGCTGGTAGAATAAAGAAAGAAAGGATGGGAAGGAAGGATGGAAGGATGAAGGGAGGGAGAAGAAAGTGGTGCCTAAAGAAATATTATAAATGTACAGAATAGCACTAGATTAGTCAGAACTGGCTTCAAAGAAGTGAGAAGTGGCTGTTTACCCTGAGATAC